GGCTTCCAGATAAATGTGCAATTATCTGGATGAGAGAGTTGAAAATCTTTCGGTCTGATCACATTCATCTATTTCTAAATATTTTCTATTTTGTTTTGTTAAATTAATTTTCATATTAACATTTTAATGGTCGCACGTCTATGCAGTCAAACGTCGTCAAGGGGACAGTATTTTAGTAATATTAATATTTCATATAAATATATTATTATTATATAAATATATATATATATATTATTAAATATAATATTTCGTATTAATTTTTAAACTTATTTTTTAATTTATTAATTGTTTATTATGTTATATTATATTAATTTATAAATTATTATATTATTAAATATAATATCTTATATAAAATTTTTAAGTTTATTTTTTAATTTATTACTTGTTATATTATATTATTTATTAATTATTATATTATTAAATATAATATTTCATATAAATATATATTATTATTTAATTAAATATTTAATATATACATATGTAATATTTTTGAAAAATTAATTTAAAAAAACTTAATTAAATTTACAAAAAAAATTAACATTAAAAAAAAAACAACAAATATAATTTTATATAATTTTAAATATTAAATAAGTTATAAATAAATAACGGCCAATAACAGTTATTCCGACTACCACGCACATGTTGTGTGAGCGGCCATTAAAGTGTTCAAAGTTAATCGACAACTATTTTAATTGTTCTACGAAATTATATAATAAAAAAATCCAAACAATTGACACATATGACTGAAAAATTAGAATTAAAACACGAAAGGTTTTTTATTTTTTTTTTTTATAAAACTTAAAAACAAAATCTTTCAATTCGATCAAATTCATCTATTTCTAAATATTTTCTATTTGTTTTTGAAATTAATTTTCATATTTAAAATAGAAAATTCATGAGTCTTCTTAAAAGTGACGAAAGATAGAAAGAGTAGGGGATGGTTAGTACCATGGTGGTAAGTCGTACCCAATGGTTTCGAATGTGCAATTCACCGGACGAATCACAATTTTTCCTTTTTCTTTTTTTTTTATTTTTCAATCTTTTTGTTCGAAACTTTGACGGACACGTCGTTTTCGGTCGTTTAAATTGCAATTGCGCGAAAAGGAGGAATGAAATAAACGTCGAATTCGTATAAAGAGAAATACGAATGGTAAATGTTTTCTATGCTTCCTATGTATGTATATGTGTGTGTGTGTATGCGTTTCGTGTAAATGTGAACACATGTGTTTGTTTTTTTATCTTTTTTTTTCCCCCTACTGTTTTCTTGAATTTTTCACTAGTGCAATTTCCATTTGTGTATACACACGTTCGTATGATGTGCGTGTGAATGTGTGAAGGAAATACGCGTTGTTAGAAAAGAATTAGTTTCGATAGAAAACGAAATGAATAAATAAAAAAAAAAAGAGAACAAAACAAAATTTGAAATAAAAAATGAATGAAAGAAAAAAATAGAAGGAAGGAAGGAAGGAAGGAAGGGGATTTTTTTTTTTTTTTTTTTTTTTATAACAGTTTGTCAACGTATATGTATATATGTAGGGAAATTTTGTAGGGTTAGAGGTGCGTGATGAACATACACCCAGTTTAATCCTACTAATAAGATTTATTTAAAACAGGTATTAGAAAAAGTACAATATTAGTTTCACAATCTTACGGTGTTATTTAATTAATCACATCACAACTTCACAACTGAACAACTTTGCGACATTACAAATTGGCTAATTTGCAAATTGACAATTTGGCAACTTGACAACTTTACAACTTAACAAATTGACAACTTTGCAATTTGACAACTTTGTAACTTAACAACTTTGCAACTAAACAACTTAACAACTTTAGGATTGTCAAACTAATATTGTACTTTTTCTAATACCTGTTTTAAATAAATCTTATTAGTAGGATTAAACTGGGTGTATGTTCACCACACACCTCTAACCCTAAAAAATTTCCCTACATATATATATATATATATATATATATATATATATATATATATATATGTATATATATATGCGTGTAAAAAGATCGACTGATATTCGGTTATGCGAATCACGTTGACTGGTCGATTAACCAATTTAGATGCTTGTTCTCTTCCCTCCAACCCCCATCACACTGGTGGGAAGAAGAAGGTGGTAGGAGATGTTCGAAAAGTGCAATACGTTTTTCCTTCAACGATTATTCTAAACGCGTATCACCTCGTCAATATGCAATGCCACGACGTTAATATAAACGACTATCGTGCGTTTATCGAAAATTCATACGTTTTCTTCTATCCTACTTCTTCTTCTTCTTCTTCTTCTTCTTCTTCTTCTTCTTCTTCTTCTTCTTTCTTTTTATTTTTTTACATTTATTTCATTCTTTTTTATTGTAAAACATTATTTCTTTTTTTTTTTCTACTTTTACTATTCTCACATTTCCCAACTTTCTAGTCGTCGTAATTAAACCAAACTACGTCTCTCATACTCGAGCCAACGATTTGCAAAAAAGTTTGTCCGCATTTATTTAAAATATGTGTTTGTCGGTATAATTAAATACAGTGAACAGCATATTTTTTTTTTCTTTTTTTTTTTCATTTCCCCTACGTCTCGTTATCGTATTCTCAACTACACATATGTGTACACTTAAGCAGTCCTTTATTCGTACAGCTTAAACGAACCCTTAAAACTATACACATACACATTCTCTCTCTCTCTCTCTCTCTCTCTCTCTCTCTCTCTCTCTCTCTGTCCCCCTTTTTGCACGAACACTTTTTATTACTGGCGAATCACCAGATCTTTAATATACTTAATTAAAAATCTACTTCTACTCGTTTCGTTCTCTTGCTCACACAGCGTTTATAAACCACGAAATTGAGCTTAACATCGAATTAAGGGAAAAAATTACTAAACCCTAAGCGAATAAAATCCTATAACGGTCAAAGAAAATTTTTTGATTAAATTTATTAACATTTCTTCTTTAAATAATATTTTAACAAGTGTCATTATAATGTTACATATTTTATTATTATTATTATTATTATTATTATTAATTGGTATTAGGAACTCGAAAGTTTATTGCAACCAATACTAAATTCCCCAATTTTAAGTATATCCAATAAAATAATTTAAATGACTTAATGAAAATTGAATTAAATAATTCAAATTATATATTAAACAAAAAAAGAAATGAAAAATAAATACAGAATTTTAAATAATAAAAATAAAAGAAAATACAGCCACGTGTGTGGGAAGAAGGAATGCACGATATGCACAATCCCCCAATGCCAGGTATATTTAATAAAATAATTTAAATGACCTAATAAAAATTGAATTAAATAATTCAAATTATATATTTAATAAAAAAAGAAATATTAAAAATAAATAAAGAATTTTATATAATAAAAATAAAAGAAAATACAGCCACGTGTGTGGGAGGGAAGGAATGCACAATATGCACAATCTCCCAATTCCAGATACATTCAATTAAATAATTTAAATGACTCAATAAAAATTGAATTAAATATTTCAAATTATATATTTAATAAAAAAAGAAATTAAAAATAAATACAGAATTTTATATAATAAAAATAAAAGAAAATACAGCCACGTGTGTGGGAGGTTTGCACGATATGCACATTTTCAGGAATACGATAAAATATATAGAAACAACTAAGTAAGAAGAAAAAGAAGAAAAAGAAGAAGAAGAAGAAGAAGAATCAAGAAAAGGAATAAAAAAATAAGAAGAATAAAGAAGAAGGAAGTGAACCGAGCCTTGTAGCGAGGCAATCGTCATTCAAGAACTGGAAACAATAGGCATTTCTACTGTTCAAGTGCATTCATCCGAGTATACTTTTCCTGCAATCTTACGTGATTCGTAATAGTCGAGTATGCCTCGTTCGTAGAAAAAGATGATAGAAAACTTGAAAGATACTTTATTTATAAATAGACTGATTCTAAGATTGGATACGTAAAATACGAGATAAGAAAAAAAGACAAAATGAAAAAGAAAATGTCCTGACGTTGCACAAGTTAAACAGGGGGAGCTCCTCTGCCTAAAATTGAGGATCTTTAACGAAAGTAGGAATACAAAAAAAAAAAAAGAAGAAGAAGAAGAAGATGAAGGGACAAAGATAAATGGATAAAGAAGGAAAGATGAGTAGGCGTATACGCAAAAAGCAAAAAAAAAGTATCCAAATCCTGACTTAATAAAGAGCAGCCATTATGGCGGTGAACGTGGCCATTGTTCTTAAGGGGTAAGGGGGAAAAAAAGTGCTTAGTGATAATTAACAGCAATTAAGTTGCTATACCGTTTAGGCAGAAAATTTGGTTAAAATGGCACGTACACAACTCACATAGATACACATAGACACAGACAGACATAGACAGTAATTTTACGATTTTTTTTTTTATACAATTTGATAGGATAAACGTTATCTAATACACATTATAAGAAAAGCATCCTGAAACTTATTATATCTTTATTCATTTTCTTCTTTCGTCTTCCAAGAAGATACTTGAATATATTTCAAACTCTTAGAATATCTTGGTTAATGAGTTCCGGCTCTTGTACTAATTAGAATTTGTTAAGAGGTTAGTTAGGATTTTTTCACTCGGAAAAGAAAAGAAAAGAAAAGAAAAAAAAGGGAAAGGGAGTGGAAAATGGTTTATTGAAGGATTTTTTTTTATGTTCCTTTCTTGGTTTATTTTTTTCTTCTTTTGTTTCTTGAAAAGTAGAGAAAGTATATATTAAGGGTGGAAAATATTTGATCAACTTATTTATCTATCCTTTAAGATAATAAATGTTAATTTTGATCAAAAAGTGTATTTGACATTGTACTCTAATTCAAATCAATTAGTTTTAACATCGTGATAGATAACATCTAATTTGAAACAATTATTAATTAATTGAATAAATGTTGAAAATGTTATAAATAATATATTGAATAAAATTTACGAAAAATTAACACGTATAATTAATAATTATGATTACATAATGAAATAAATTTTGAATACATTATAACTCACCATCTATGTCAATCTCTTGTAGCATGGTGTTCAATTCCTCAGCTCTGGCGAATTGTCCTAAAGAACGCATGACCCTTCCAAGTTCTTCTTTCGTGATATTACCATCCCCGTCCTTATCGAAAAGGTTAAATGCCTCTTTAAATTCTGAAAACATTTATGTGAAATATTAAATACCATTCGATTAAATTCTATCTAGTTTTAAAACCAAGTCATTTTATTAACGTTCAAATTAAATGGACCGTGATATTAATTAAAGTTTAGATCGAATAAGAAAAAAGAAAATGGAAAGAACTTAAAAATACTCGAAAAGTCATCAAACGATGGTTTACACCCCCTCTTGAGTCAATTTTACCACCCTTAACATTTCAACTTTTCAGACAAACTTCATTCTTTCGTGTAGAAAACAAAAGAAGAAATGAAAAATGACAATTTGACATGTAAACTATTGCAAATGTTACAAATAAATTATACTCGGATTGTTTAAACATTGTTAATTAAAAAAAAAAAAAAAAAAACCAAAATTATAAATGAAGATTATAATTGAAACACTTTGATAACACTTTCTCTATCGAAATTTGATTCGTCGATACTCGAAAACAAATCCTGGAGATCTGTTTAATGTACCACCCTCAAATAACCCCCTATCTCATCCCTTGAATTTGATCGAATACAGGAGAGAATACCAGAACAGCTTGGGGTTGTTACCCCGAAGCAAATTTTCGACTAACCTAAGAGCAACTCGGGATTCGGATCGTCGAGGCTCGAGTCAACCGTTTAATGGCCTTGTTTCATGAACCATTGACTTTATGCGTATCCTACCTAGAAGATATGTCTATACAGGTATACAGAGTGATTCACGAATAATTCATACAGTAAACATTACTAAATATTATTTAAAATTCATTTGAAAATGTTTCACATACATATATAAATAATATGAAATAATTTGTATACAAATTTTTAATTATATAAAATTATATAAAATGTTAATAATTTATATAAAAAAAATATTAAAATATTAAACTATTAAATATTAAAATATTATAAAAATTTTAAAAA